CCCCCCCCCCCCCCCCCCCCCCACGGGGTCTTAAACAGGGTTTTGATTTAAGGGTCAAGTCATAAATAAGGTTTCGAATTTTTGGTCAGGTCATAAATTAGGTAGGGAATATTGCAGATTTTAGTCATAAATAGGGTAAGGGTTTTGGGAAGCGGGCCGCACACCCCCGNCCCCTCCCCCACCCGGGTCCTAATGGAACCAGAAGAAATGAATTGAAGCGAACTGTACATCGTAAAATAGACCAGCCGAAAATGGCTGAAGTCACTAGAAAGCGACGTTACACTTGTCAGCCGTATTTCAACCGAAACCAGGAAAACAAAACGGGAGCGCTTAAAATTAAACGCCGTCTGGATCTGTTCCGGGGGATAGAGGCTGTGTTGCTGTTTATTCATCAACCTTGTACAATACAATGAAAGTGATCTTTGGGCTAGAGTTCGGCTTTCTTTTAACAACTAAATAAATTTCCGATTTAAATACATTGTTTGTATAATAATCAAACGATTTATATATATAAAAGAAGGCTTTTGTCGTCCGGTCCAAGCCATACTAGATTTCGTTTCTACACCAGGATCGTTCAATGGTCCTCTTTTCTGCTGGCCGGACGGGGCGCCTATCACTAGATCCCTTTTTGTGGAACAACTTAATCGAGCGCTCCGATTTTGAAATCTTGATCCTGCTTTGTACAAATCACACAGTTCGCGGATAGGCGCAGCGACTTGGGCCGCTGCAAAAGGCTTTTCAGACTCACAGATTCGCCAGTTGGGCCGATGGAAATCTAATGCGTTTTTAAAGTGTATTCGTGTACATAGTCTTTCAACTAACGTAGGCTATTCTTCATTGTAGACCACACGCAGGTGCTGTGGCCATCATCACAAGTTTAACACTTTAACACCGGTCTCTTTTCGGGTCAACAGTCTTCGGGTGGGGCGGGCCTCCATTCTGGAGGCTTGTGGCCTTTTTCTCCAGCCCTCACCTTTGCAAGAGCTTAACAAATAATAATTCGTTATATTGTATTTCATATTAGTTCTAATCAATAAATCGGCCATTCTGCGTGGCCAAAATTTATCTCAACAACGACTTGTCTGGTTTCGATTTCTTTAAGCGCTCCAGCAAACAAAGCTTGACTGTTGACCTAGAAAATTTGACATAGGTACAGCTTCATAGTTATAACTTCGGAAACAAGGGAAGAAGACATAAATAAATTTTATTTGCCACCAAATAAAAGCGTTTATGGCTTCTACCCACGCTCCTGGCGTTACTGTAAACACAGTGTTAATTTTCAACCAGGAGTTTAAGATAATGAGGAAAGGCTGGGAGTACTGAAGGGTCGAACTAAATGGGGACGGGGTCACCAAGTACAAACTTGATTGAACAATAATCACAAGACCATCACAAGACAATCTTATGACTTCGATGAAAATAGCGAATTCATTGGTAATAGTCACGAGTTTCACTGAAAAATAACTTATCCTCGCTTTCAGCGATCGGAATAAGACGTGGCATGTTTCTCGAGTTCGTCCTTTTTGTCTTCAGACCTGACACACTCAGCGAGTTCCACCCTCCTCCTCCCTTCCTCCAACTCATTTATATTATGTATTTGTTATATAGGCACTTCTCCTTTTTTTCTCGTGCCCTCACCTTTGCAAGAGCTTAACAAATAATAATTCGCTATATTGTATTTCATATTAGTTTTAATCAATAAATCGGCCATTCTGCGTGGCCAAAATTTATCCCAACAACGACTTGTCTGGTTTCGATTTCTTTAAATGCTCTAGCAAACAAAGCTTGACTGTTGACCTAGAAAATTTGACATAGGTACAGCTTCATAGTTATAATTTCGGAAACAAGGGAAGAAGACATAAATATACTTTCCCGAAAACGACAACAGTCTACAGGCAGGTTTTAAAATATGAGACGAAACCTTGGTAGCCCCTGGTATTTAATCGCAAGAATTCGATACATTTCCGCGAAACTCAGTGGTTTTGTAATGGTGATGAAAACACTTCGCAGCTTTTCTTGATACGTAACTCCTTGAGAAGTAATTAACATTCCGCGGAGAATATTGACATAGAGTTGATTACTTATTACTTTTGCAAAGTGGTTGCAAATCGCTGTCAAAATATCTGCTAAACCATGACAAGATGTTTTCCCTTCCAGGACAGAAATAGTTCTTTTGTAAAAACCCTTTTCTCAGATCTAGTAGAATATTATAAACACAATAAAAGATATGACAAGACAAAAACATAAACAAAGGAATTACGACGTGCCATGTGGCCTGTGCTTCAAAGGTGTCGAACACAATTATCAAGCAAATGTCTTTTGCAACGTTTTCGTGAAGATCTCATTCTCGATTAATAAGTAGTTAATAATGTTAGTTGACACCGACAAATTAACGGCAAGGGCGCAACCGGGATAACTGACAATCGCAGACTTTTTAATCCGGAACGCCGGCCGGCCTCTTTTGCGCAGATTCACTGTCCTTGTTTTGTTCCTTCTTGAATATTGTTCAAGGTTTACAAATTGGTTAGGCCAATACACGTAATGGCAAAGCAAAATTTAAAGCAATTTTACCTTCATGCGAATATTTTGTCAGCTTTGATCTCATGATCTCAGCTGAATAGAATCTTATAATTAATTGTTCCTTGTTCGCCAAGCATAACACGCGAGGGCAAACTAGCATTTAGAATAAGGGTTTTAAGGTCAAAAAATAGGGCGGAAAACTTCAAAAGATTCAATTTGTTCTACTGGAGTTAATTGGGAAGACTAAGTCTTCACTTAACAGTGCAATTCGTCTTTGATAGAATCTAGGATTCTGTTTGTAACATTTTGCGTTAATAGTCCATGACCTGAACTAAGTAGTATAAACTGTTTGAAAGCATGAAAGAGGCTTCAAAAATATGGTGGGACTCCCATAACTAATCACGTTGTGTTCACTGTTTACCCGAAAGAGTTAAATTGCGTGCCTCTAAATGCATAACTGGCAATAAAGATTTTTGTTATTTTAAGGATTACGCTTATAACCAAATTCTTATTAATTTGAATCCTTACAGCAAATAATTTTATTTCCAGAACGGTCTTTTCAGTCTTATTCACGAGTTAAAAAAACGGCTGAATTCAACCTGGATCGCTCGCAGTCACCATATTAGGGGTGGCGAATGGTAAATGCGAGACTTTGCGAGACGACGAGATTAGCGTTTTTCTTTGCAAGCCTGAGACATTTTGATTTCTTCTGATTGCGAGACCAAGACTTTTAAGTGTTTTGAATGCGAACTAAGATGTTGTGATGTCATTTAACTTTACTAAAAAGAAAATAAACAAATCGGTACTTAGCGACTTTCTTAGCCTTGAAAAAAATCGAGACTGCGAGACGCACATAACCGCTAAAAAACGAGATTGCGAGACCGTGAAATTCGGCGAAAATTTTGCGAGACCCATGGTTTTTGAAGGACCATTCGCCACCCCTAGTTGAGCTCGTTCCAGTTTTGAACTCCCCACATTAAATCAACACCCCGCTCCCCATTTGTTCATTAAATCTCAAACAAGTCATTGCTGTGTGTTAAATGTGCTTTTTTCAACTTATAGAACATCCTATTTATATTCACCTTTGCGTTGTCACAGGAACAAAGTCAATCAATACTGTCTTATGCTCGAACTTTTCAAAAATCGGTGTTTAAGCAAGAAAACGAGAATGGTTTTATTACATGTAAAATATTGAGACGGATTTCATAACAAAATGCATGCAAAAACAATTACATGGTTACAACATATGCAGCTGTAAATGTTCTAAAACTGTATCATACCTTGTGTATTTGAGCAACCGCATCGATCGCCTATTTTGCCAAACAGCATCATGACTGTCAACACCAGAGCTGGTATCGACACGAGGCACACGACAATCAACAAAAACACCACCACACGGTTTGTGCTGAACATGCCTGCGGGCTTTCTGTTCGCACTGCTTGTGTTTGGCTGCTCGTCAGATAAACTCCGGTAATCCAAATGGCGGACTCCCCCCAAGTTTTCAAATCGAGATGCAACAAGCGCCCTTTGGTTCTTTTTGGCGTCATCTTGACACCAATTTTGAAAGACAGGGTTTACGACGAGAATGGGGCCGGCAGCTTCCCTACGCGCTTTCACGGAGGCCATTCAGAAATTCCTTGCTTAGTTTCTTTTTGTTACAGTACGTTTCTGTAACAGACGCCTAATCCAAAACAGCTTCGTATTATTTGGTAGGTTAACTTGCGTGTCGACACGCTGGAGTGATTTCCATTTTTAATAAGTTTTCTGCCCGTTAAAACAACAACGTTACGTGTTCAGCGACTTTAATGGGTAGATAAATATATAAAACAAACAAGGACGGCTCTTGAGGCATCCGACAATCTTAAAAGTAAGAGGGATTGGTCATCTTAGCGACGCAAATCGTCCCCGAGAAATGGCGACAATAGGATGTGCCACTTAAATTTTGGTCGTGATTATGCTATTTCTGTTTAGTGTTTCTGATTGGACAAATAGAGACAAAATTCTTTTAAATGCTTCAGCAAGAGTAAGCTGTTGAGATTAGCACTTGCTCCCACCATGAAATAAATGTTTGTATTTGCGAACGGCCATCCAAAACAAACTGGCGGCTATGTTTGAAGGATTAAATCCATCTAAGGGTCACAGTTTACCTGTCTGTTCTTATTACGATGCTGGAAACCAAGGTGGAGGCGGTAGGACATTTTTCAACGAAAACGGAAAACAAAGAAAATAGTAAATTGGTTTTTAATTTATATGAATCCTAAAGGTGACAGCTATTTGCACTTTTGGATTATCTTTTGGGGGTAATTAACGGTTTAGTTACTGCTTGGAACTAAACAAGACTGATCATATATATTTATATGCGCACAACTTAAGCAGTTGTAAAATTACAGCCTGAAAAAACATATTCAGGTTTGAACGAAATTCGAAATCATGACCTCTGCGATACCTGTGCAGCGCACTCGCTCGCTTTGTCTTAATTTAACTTTGGACGTATCGCCATTAGAAGACAAAGATTATTTTTGACAGTTACTGATCATGAATAGAGCTGTGATCTAACTATAATTTACATTATTTTATTTACACGGTACATTATTTTTGCTATTTCCTAGAGTTACAGCGCGGATGAACAAAGAAAATGATTGATGTAAAACGTTCAAAAAAGCTTGAATGCATGAATATAATGGTCGTTGTCTTAACTCAAAGTAAACCAGTAAAATTGAAGCTGGAGCCATTTCAGATAAATATGGTTGGTTAAGAATCCCAACTGACAGGGCGCTGACTTGTTGGGTATGCCAGTTATCCAGATAGCAGCAGAGTAGACGGGTTGACGCTCCCACCTACGGATCGCAACCGCTCTACCGAACCTCTCCGACACGTACACTTGGTTTGTTAAAGGATGTCTAGCCTGGACACTTAGCACACAAATCATGCGCCCTTGAGCTATTATCGGCACCACACTCACACACGCATCACTAATTTTACATGATAAAGTAGTTGAAATAGTACGTCAGAACAGAAAACACACCGGGTTCTCTTTGAATTTTTGTACACAGCCTGCGAGCTGTGACTAGAACCCATCATGTCAGTTGTCTGGGAAAAGAAAGTGGGTAGCCATACACACGTTATGTCGTTGATAAATTAATTGTAATTATGAGATTCAGTCTACAGTTGTAACACTCGATTTCACGTAACAAGTGGACACTCCCAGTAGTGGATTATGCAAGCGAATGACGTAACTGAAGCTGATACAGCTCCTCTGCACTCACACCGGTAAACGCGAACATCTCCGGCAGCAGTGAAACTAGAGAGCAGATACTGTTGAGCATCATCTGTTGAGCATGTCGCTGCAATAATCCTTTTATCCTATAAGAACAAAAGTAGTAAATGTTATTTACAATAATAGAAGGGAGGGCTCTTTCTATTAATCCGACAGCAGTTTTAGATGAATAAAAGAGTGTGATAATCGACTTATAATGTTAGAAAGATTGGCTTTTTCTTAGCATTCAAAATGCACGGCATTAACATTTTAGGCCTGCATTGAATGCAGGCTTAAAATGTTAAAGCAGTGTATTTTACTCTGTAATATCTGGATGTTCTTCTCGATCTGAAGAAAAGTATTTTATTATCAATAATTATTTTAACGTACGTTTTCTTCCTCGACGTCCACGGTAACACTGGCACCACCAGAGGCTACAGCTGCAACTGTTGTTACTTGCTTGTAGGTACACTGGCTGAAGTTTCCTGATCCTTGACCACTTGGACCTGGCGGGCCAATTGGACCGGGAGCTCCCTGAGTTCCATTGTAGCCTGGTATACCTGGCGGGCCACTTACACCAGGAGGCCCCTGAGTCCCATTGGAGCCCGGTACGCCTGGCGGACCACTTGGACCGGGAGGTCCCTTAGTTCCATTGTAGCCCGGTACACCTGGCGGACCACTTGCACCGGGAGGTCCTTGAGTTCCATTATAGCCTGGTATACCTGGGGAGCCACTTATACCGGGAGCTCCCTCAGTTCCATTGTAACCTGGTATACCCGGCGGGCCAATTGCACCCGGAGGTCCTTGAGTTCCATTATAGCCTGGTATACCCGGTGAGCCACTTGCACCTGGAGGTCCTTGAGTTCCATTAAAGCCTGGGATACCCGGAGGGCCAATTGGACCGGGAGGACCCTGAGTTCCATTGAAACCTGGTAAACCAGACGGGCCAAAGGGACCGGGAGGCCCCTGGGTTCCATTATAGCCTGGTAAACCAGGCGGGCCAATTGAGCCGGGAGGGCCCTGAGTTCCATTGTAACCTGCTATACCCGGCGGGCGAATCGGACCGGGAGGCCCCTGAGTTCCGTTATGGCCTGGTACACCTGACAGACCAATTGGACCTGGAGGTCCTTGAGTTCCATTGTAGCCTGGTACAACTGGTAGGCCAGTAGAATCGGTAGGAGTAGTAGCTCTGTGTGAACCATTAAATGTAGGTTGGTCTTGTTCTTCCACATATCCTTGAGAACAATTGTTGCCAATTTGTTCCTGAACTTCACTCACGTTCTTTACCTGTTATTGAAAGAAAAACAAAGATTGGCTATTGTTAGTATCAAATGTTTTTCTGTGCCACCGGACTGAAGATTATCTTGTGCATTATAAGTCATTTAGCATAAGCCTGTTTTTACATGAACCTGACTAGCGTTCATGTTAAAACGAGAGACGCAAATATCACATTTAGAGAGCAGGAACAAAATATCAACTTTCTAATGTGTAACGTTTAGTCCTAGAAAGTCACGACTCAATCATAGTAGGGGGAAAAGTATATTGTGAGGCGCTAGGGGTGCAAACTGTTACCATGTAATAATTCGCTTTATGCTACCCTTTCCAATTTATTACTAGAATCATCCTTGTCAGTTCTTATCGCGCCATGGGACGAAAAAGGCCTTCACAGTCTCTCTCCGGCGGAGCAGTCTTGTGCACGTTTCAGATTTCATTCCAGGTGAGCCCGGGTGATGGGGGGTGTAGTCCCTTATATGGGCCATATAGGTATGTGCGGCCCCAAAGGGTAGGGTTTTTCAGCCGTTTTCGTCCTAAATAGGGTATCGATTTTGGCCATTTTGGTCTTAAATAGGGTATGGTTATAGCACTGTAGTGTCGAATTGGGTATGTTTCTTCGTAAAAGCTACTTTTTCATCATTATAAATAAGACCGTCAACAAAAGCCCTTCATAACTTATGTTTAGGGTAACTGTGCCAGCCACAACGTAACGATCATCAATAGGGTATCGAATTTTTGGCCAGGTGATAAATAGCGTAGCAAAAATCGAAGAGTTTGGTCATAAATAGGGTAAGGGTTTTGGGAAGTGGACCGCACACCCCCACCCAGCTTTTCTGGGAGTATCCATACCCCCCTCCCCCGGGCAGGTGAATCAGGTGCATGGACTTAAGTTCCTTTTTCCGCTGACCTTCTCCAAGATATTCGTGGCCTTCCCCGTTGTCTCTTGCCCTCTGGTGTTTTCACTGTGAGAGTACTCTAGCCTCTCACCCATTAGCACAACTAAAAGCAAAGCAAAGCTAGATTTCCTGGCTAGCACTTGGTCGGGACTCGATGTTCTGCTCT